TTACAGTCTTTCCAGAAAGCGACTGTAACGCAGTGTTCCCTCTAAGCTGATTTAGTGTGAGCTAGCTCAAAGTTTTCTAGCCTCCGGCTCACACATTTTTGCCTCCGCTCAGGAAGGAGGGCTCCAGAGCAAACTAATTTACGCAGGAGCCAAATCGCTGGCTCACAGCTTTCATGCCAGTAGCTCACAAAGGGGAATTTTTGCTCTCAGGACTCCACAGCTTAGAGGGAGCATTGGCTGTAAGGTAGTGACTGAGAGGTGAATGGGGATGTCTCTGGTTCGAATTCTGCTTCTGCCAAGAGCTTGCAGAGTGGCCTGAAGGCTGTGTGTTTGCGATATTGTCTTGCAAGATTGTCTTTAAGGATTTTCTGAGATAATGTAGATATCTCTCCCATTGCAATCAATGGGACTTAAAAGTGCTCGGCTTTGGCTAAATATGTGCCCACCGTTCATGCAGCAAACATAGGCATCGGCATCATTAAAACTGGGTTCTCCTTTGTACCCTCGCAACAACCTTTGCGAAGTAGATTCGGCAGAGTGAGTGACTGGACTAGCAGAGAGAGTAGACTTCTTGACTGAGTGGGGATTTGAACCCAGGTCTCCTCAGTTCTAATTTAACCACCATGCCACCTTGCGTCCCATATATTGCTCTTACCTCGTTTACTGTTTGTTTCTCTGTACAGTAGGTTAGGCTCAGAGGCATCACTTCATTCTCCGAGGGGTGATCCGTGGCCAGAAAACAAGTTTCCCACTTGCAGATCACAACTGGCTTAGTGCGTCTCTGAATCCTGTATGGATGTCTCCAGGCGTGCTAGCTCAGGATTCCAGCCCTACACCAGAATGGTGATCGGGACTCTTGGCTTTGACAGTTGAATGGGAGGGAATCCTCCCAGAAGAAATATTCTGGGCTGGTGTGGATGGCTCACGACTGACTACATTTCACAGCTGACTGGGGATTTTAACCTGGAAGTCTGTATCCAAGCCAAATGTTCAGTCCCCTGCACTGCTGTAGGCTGATTTAAGATTACTTAAATTACTGATGGGTGTTGTTGTTGTTTTTTGCCTGCCAGGCATTGATAATGGTACTTAGTATTTATACAGCACTTTCAGTAGTCCAGAATGTGTCATTTATATTATTACAGTTACAGTAATTCTTGCCACTGCCCTAGGAGGTAGGCTAGTCTTGAAGGTGGGGTGCCCAGGCTGACTGGCTTAGGCTAAGGGTAGCCAGTAACGTTGGGGCTGAAAGGAGATTTGAAACGTTGACCTAATTCACAATTCATTCTCTCTTAGCTACGACACTACATGATTTCCTACAAGTAAGAACAGGGCGCATTAAAATCTATGCTTTTAAAAACAATTAGATTTGGGGATTTTTTAAATTCTTTAAGCTTTTTACCTGTAAGAAATTGCTCTTACAAAATAGCTTGGCTGAAAAAATTGGGCTTAATGCAAACATATAAACATGTAGGCTCAATTTATGACCTTCTTATACATCCATGAAAGGCCTTTTTGGTGTGTAAAGAAAGAATTATGGGGGGGGGGATGGACATCTTTATCAGTCATCTGATAGCGCAGAAGTTCATGCACATAAATTACCGCCTGATCCTGGAGGCCGGGGACTGGCAGCTCACCTTGAATGGCACACAATGGTCCTTCTAGGTGACCTTCACTTCTGTTTTATGATCTCTGCAGCTGGTTCAGTGCTGTGATTATATATATCAATCAAATAATACAGACATTTACCATCCAACTCCTGCAGAATACTGCTCTGCCCAGTGGTTACTAGCAGCCCTTGTTTCTTTTTGACATTCACTGTTTTGTGTGGCAGGCCTGGGTGAAAAAATATCTTGCCCTTTCATAGAAGCTTAATGTGTGGAAATCGGTAGTTGAAGTTTCTCATGACATGAAGGTAAAATAATATCACCTGGTAAAGAATATCCCATTAAGCCACTGTACAAGGGACAAGATTCTCTTCCCCCCCCCCCCAACAGTTGGCAATTTTAAAAAGAAGGGACAGATTATAGCAGAATAAGATTTCAGGGAAGAGACAATCTCTTTTTGTGTTCCTGTCAGTCTGTGCCTGTCCACAAAAGCCTGCCATAAAAATTCAGTTATTATGCTTTCATTTTTTTGCTTTTCTTCTTATTGAAATCATTCGAAAATCCTACATACTCAGTTAATCTGTTATATACTTCACATGGTTACGAGTTGCATAATTTTATATATTATTGTTAGAAGGTTTAACAAAGGTTTATGGATAATTATTCTCACACACACACGCACATTGGTAACAATGTGGAAATCTTGCTTTAAAGTTTATATGTTGGATTTATTGTGTTATTTCAAAATGTTTCATCTGCATATCTGTATTTGTGTATTTCTAATAAAATAAAAAATATTATTTTAAAAAAAAATTGAGAAACTGGGGTCACAGGCATTAACACACAACCCTAAGCAGAGTCTCGCCCTTCTGAAACCATTGAAATCAATGGGCATAGAAGAGGCACAGCTGTACCTCGGATGGTGCTGGATGTGTTCTCAACATTAGCAGTGTATTGCATCTAATGTTTCCAAAAGGGCACACTTTAATGTATTCTAACCTCTCAATGAGCAAACCAGTTAACTCAAATAGTAGAAGCCAGCCATCAAAATATCATTTTTTTGTTCAATAAAACAGCCAGTTAATAGTCCATGCTTGTCTCCTTTCTCTTCCCAGTTTTCACAAATCATACAAAGTCATGACTGATATCTTCATAGTCATAGTCAAGTCCCATGGTGTTGGTGTTGACCTTCCAAGCTTCATATGTCTTGGGACAAACATACCTGAAGGACCACACCTCCTCCATTAGAAACCAATCTTAACTGCTACCATCATCTGAGGCCCTGCTTTGGGATCTCCTGCCTTCTGAGATTAGGTAGGTGGTGACTTGGGAGAGGGCCTTCTTGGTCGCAGCACTGAAACGCTGAAACTCTCTCCCCAGAGACACTCGCTGGTCTACTTCTGTTGTCATCTTCCACCAGCTTTGCATTTTTGTGTGTGTGTGTGTGCCCATGCCTGGAAGTCACGGCAACCTCTGGTAACTCCTGCTGGGGCATGGGGGATGTTCAGAGAAGTGGCTTGATAGCCTGCCTCTGGCCTCCCGGCCCTGGTATTCTCTGGAGGTCTCCCATCCAAATACTTCCCAGGATCGGCTCTGCGTAGCTTCTGAGATCTGACAAGATCGGGTTTGCCTGGGCTATCCAGGTCAGGGCTACTAATGAAGTAGTATTGAAATAATAAATGGGAAATTTTGATTCAAATCAGTGAATTCAGGTTAAACTTTTTCTTGGTGCTTTAAATCATGATTTAAATTGCTATTTTAATTCACTTTGATTCATAAGAACATAAACATAAGAGACGCCAATGTTGGATCAGGCCAATGGCCCATCTAGTCCAACACTCTGTGTCACACAGTGGCCAAAAATACCAGTGCCATCAGGAGGTCCACCAGTGGGGCCAGGACATTAGAAGCCCTCCCACTGTTGACCGCCCCCAAGCACCAAGAAGACAGAGTATCACTTGCCCCAGAGTCCCTATCTATACCTTGTGGCTAATAGCCACTGATGGACCTCTGCTCCATATGCTTATCTGATTCCCTTTTGAAGCCGTCCATGCTTGTAGCATTAGCTATCAATTCATATCAATTCACCTCGGAAAACGATTGTTCGTTCTGTTAAATATTGTTTTTCTAAAAAAAAATACAAGAAACCAATAGATAAGGTTATACACAAATGTAGTTGTATATATATTTTTAGCAAATGGAAGAGCTTTTTTTGTATTTTGTAATGTGCGTGTGTGTGAATGTTTGTGCACCTGGAAGTCATGACAACCTCTGGTGACTGACCCCTACTGGTTGCCTGGAGGATATTCAAGGAGGTGGCTGAATAAGGCCTGTCCCCATCCCTGACTCTGGTATTCCAAGGAGGTCTCCCACCCAAGTACTTGCCAGAGTCAATCCTGCTTAGCTTCTGAGATCAAACAAGATCCGGCTTGCCTGAGCTATCCAGGTCAGGGCACAAATGAAAGAACATTTAGAAGAAATTGAAGTGGCACTCCCACTGTTTCCTCAAACTCCCCCCCCCCCAGTGGTCCCTTTTTTAAAGGACTTGACTATGACTATGAAGATATCAGTCATGACTTTGTATAATTTCTGAAAACCTGGAAGAGAAAGGAGAGCGCATGGACTATTGACTGGCTGTTTTACAGAACAAAAAACTGATATTTTGATGGCTGGCTTCTGCCATTTGAGTTAATTGGTTTGCTCATCGATGGCTTAGAATTTAAATACATCCGCAGCATTTTTCTTGGGGTTTTACACCTACCCAGAGGTGCCAAGGCCTTTATCATTTGAATAGAAATGACCACCAAAGTTGAAGTTTAGCTGAACAGATCGGCTACACATCTAATGCAGTTGGAGAAGCAGCTTTCACAGAGGAAAAGTTCAGTGCACACATATTTACTCATTTACACCTAGATCCTGTTTTTCCTCCAGAAAGCCATTAATTCATTCACTCCTGAAAGCAAATATTGGCCTACATGGGGCTGCCATGCAGATGTAGTCTTCCCTATCCATGCATTTATCCAAGCCGAAGACAGCCTTGTGTTAACTATGTAACTCGGTTGGGTGTACTCATTAACATTTTGGAAAACTGAAACCCAGGGTAATATTTTTTCTGGTTGGTTTGTCTCTTTCATCTCATGGGTTAATATTGGATTGGTTCCAAACTGTGGTGGTGTTGTATCCAAAGGTGA